TGCTACTCTGCCAACTCATGCCATTGCACTTCAGATGCCACCCTCACCGCTGTGAGGGATGGGCAGAGCAGGGGAGAGAGCGGGGAGCATCGTGGGCTGCCCAGAGGTGGGCAGAGCAAGGGAGAGCTGGGTGGGCAGAGAGAGGGAGAGAGGGATGGGTGCAGCGAGGGAGAGATGGGTGGGCAGAGCAGTGGTGAGAAGGCCAAGCGTGGTTTGAAGCGTGGGATGATGGTCTGTTCTTAAAGAAAGGCAGTGATGGGAGGGGGGGGGGGGGAGGGAGAGTGGCGGGTGGCAGTGGTGGAGTGGGTCCACTAGATATTGAGCCAGCATCGGGTGCGGCTCTAGCGGGGGTATGCAGTGCGCAGGTGAGAGGGGTACACACCAATGGGGTATGGCGAGGTGAGCTGCTTGCAATTGTGAGAGGTGCGCAGCGCATGGGTGAGGGGTGTATGCAGTACGGGTGGTGTGAAAAAGGGTGAGTAAGTGCGTGGGTCAGCGGGGTGTGGAGCGTGGTCAGCGAGGTGTGGCGTGTGTGCAAGATGCATAGGCATGGCGCATATGCTCCCAGCCATGTCTGATGGATATTGCGTGGGCAGGTGCTATGTGGAAGTGGCATCTTCACCTCCAAGCCCCTCCTTACTCCACCATTTACCTCCCTCTCCAACCCTTCCCCACTGCAGGAAGTCTCCGGGCACACCTCGCTGCCATGCGTGGAGCCAAGCCCAATACTTGGGCATGAAGCAAAAGTGGAGGCTCCCATAGTGGAAGACTGGGTGGGATAGGTTTGGGGGCGAGGGTAACACGCGTTCCCACTGGCGGCAGCGTCGGTAATCTGGGCGGCGATTGTGGTGCACGCCCGTGGTGCCGTTGGGGTGTTGGCCGGGCGGGGTTGGTGTGGATTATTCTTGTGCATCATAAATATAACCGCACATGTCCCACTAACACGGATGCCTTGTGATGGCCACAATCGCTCACTGGCAAGGGGTACAAAACATTTCAAGGCGTGATACTTATATCCATCGGGGGAGGTTATGCTTCCAATGCTCTCGACAGGGTGATATTTATTAATACAACTAGCCTCTTTACATCATCTAGGGGGCTTTACAAACCCACGGTCTATGGCTCTGAGACCTACCAAGCCAGAATGGGCCGCTTGCGGCTGGTCTTATAGAACCACCAGCTCGAAAGAATGGGTGGGCTTGGGTTGGGTGATGGGAGCTTGCACACGTGATGCCTTGCCGAGTGGGTCCTGGATGGCCTGCAAGTGAGATGGAGGAGGAGAGGAGGTGGGATGGATGAGGATACGACAGGAAGTGGATGGGGACGCGGGTGCTGATTGGGGGGCGGAGGATCCGTCTCGTTAAATACAGGGAGGAATGGAGTGGCCGGAGCTATTGACACCAAGGGGCAATTCAAGACGACCAACCCCCCTCCCTACCATCCATACCCCTTGCACTTCCCTGCTTCCCCCCCTTCCACTGCCCTGCTTCCCCCCCTTCCACTTCCCTGCTTCCCCCCCTCCCACTGCCCTGCTTCCCCCCCTTCCACTGCCCGGCTTCCCCCCCTTCCACTGCCCTGCTTCCCCCCCTTCCACTGCCCTGCTTCCCCCCCTTCCACTGCCCTGCTTCCCCCCCTTCCACTGCCTGGCTTCCCCCCCTTCCACTTCCCTGCTTCCCCCCCTCCCCCTGCCCTGCTTCCCCCCTTCCACTTCCCTGCTTCCCCCCTTCCACTGCCCTCCTTCCCCCCCTTCCACTGCCCTGCTTCCCCCCATTCCACTGCCTGGCTTCCCCCCCTTCCACTGCCCTGCTTCCCCCCTTCCCACTGCCCTGCTTCCCCCCCTTCCACTTCCCTGCTTCCCCCCTTCCACTGCCCTCCTTCCCCCCCTTCCACTGCCCTGCTTCCCCCCATTCCACTGCCTGGCTTCCCCCCCTTCCACTGCCCTGCTTCCCTCCCTTCCACTGCCATGCTTCCCCCCTTTCATTGCCCTGCTTCCCCCCTTCCACTTCCCTGCTTCCCCCCCTCCCACTGCCCTGCTTCCCCCCTTCCACTGCCCGGCTTCCCCCCTTCCACTGCCCTGCTTCCCCCCCTTTCACTGCCCTGCTTCCCCCCCTTCCACTGCCATGCTTCCCCCCTTTCATTGCCCTGCTTCCCCCCCTTCCACTTCCCTGCTTCCCCCCCTCCCACTGCCCTGCTTCCCCCCCTTCCACTTCCATGCTTCCCCCCCTTTCATTGCCCTGCTTCCCCCCCTTCCACTTCCCTGCTTCCCCCCCTCCCACTGCCCTGCTTCCCCCCCTTCCACTTCCCTGCTTCCCCCCCTTCCACTGCCCTGCTTCCCCCCCTTCCACTTCCCTGCTTCCCCCCCTCCCACTGCCCTGCTTCCCCCCCTTCCACTGCCCGGCTTCCCCCCCTTCCACTGCCCTGCTTCCCCCCCTTCCACTGCCCTGCTTCCCCCCCTTCCACTGCCCTGCTTCCCCCCCTTCCACTGCCTGGCTTCCCCCCCTTCCACTTCCCTGCTTCCCCCCCTCCCACTGCCCTGCTTCCCCCCCTTCCACTTCCCTGCTTCCCCCCTTCCACTGCCCTCCTTCCCCCCTTCCACTGCCCTGCTTCCCCCCATTCCACTGCCTGGCTTCCCCCCCTTCCACTGCCCTGCTTCCCCCCCTTCCACTGCCATGCTTCCCCCCCTTTCATTGCCCTGCTTCCCCCCCTTCCACTTCCCTGCTTCCCCCCCTCCCACTGCCCTGCTTCCCCCCCTTCCACTGCCCTCCTTCCCCCCCTTCCACTGCCCTGCTTCCCCGCCTTCCACTGCCTGGCTTCCCCCCCTTCCACTGCCCGGCTTCCCCCCCTTCCACTGCCCTGCTTCCCCCCCTTCCACTGCCCTGCTTCCCCCCCTTCCACTGCCATGCTTCCCCCCCTTTCATTGCCCTGCTTCCCCCCCTTCCACTTCCCTGCTTCCCCCCCTCCCACTGCCCTGCTTCCCCCCCTTCCACTTCCCTGCTTCCCCCCTTCCACTGTCCTCCTTCCCCCCTTCCACTGCCCTGCTTCCCCCCATTCCACTGCCTGGCTTCCCCCCCTTCCACTGCCCTGCTTCCCCCCCTTCCACTGCCATGCTTCCCCCCCTTTCATTGCCCTTTTTTCTTCCCCCCCTTCCACTTCCCTGCTTCCCCCCCTCCCACTGCCCTGCTTCCCCCCCTTCCACTGCCCTCCTTCCCCCCTTCCACTGCCCTGCTTCCCCGCCTTCCACTGCCTGGCTTCCCCCCCTTCCACTGCCCGGCTTCCCCCCCTTCCACTGCCCTGCTTCCCCCCCTTCCACTGCCCTGCTTCCCCCCCTTCCACTGCCATGCTCCCCCCCTTTCATTGCCCTGCTTCCCCCCCTTCCACTTCCCTGCTTCCCCCCCTCCCACTGCCCTGCTTCCCCCCCTTCCACTTCCCTGCTTCCCCCCTTCCACTGCCCTCCTTCCCCCCCTTCCACTGCCCTGCTTCCCCGCCTTCCACTGCCTGGCTTCCCCCCCTTCCACTGCCCTGCTTCCCCCCCCCTTCCACTGCCCTGCTTCCCCCCCTTCCACAGCCCTGCTTCCCCCCCTTCCACAGCCCTGCTTCCCCCCTTCCACTTCCCTGCTTCCCCCCCTTCCACTGCCCTGCTTCCCCGCCTTCCACTGCCCTGCTTCCCCCCCTTCCACTGCCCTGCTTCCCCCCCTTCCACTGCCCTGCTTCCCCCCCCTTCCACTGCCCTGCTTCCCCCCCTTCCACTGCCCTGCTTCCCCCCCTTCCACTGCCCGGCTTCCCCCCCTTCCACTGCCCTGCTTCCCCCCCCTTCCACTGCCCTGCTTCCCCCCCTTCCACTGCCCTGCTTCCCCCCCTTCCACTTTCCTGCTTCTCCCCCTTCCGTAGCATGGAAGCAATCCCCCCTTCCTGCCAGGAGCATGGGAGAGGGGACCATGGGAAAGGGGACCATGGGAGAGAGGCGGACAGGGCAAGCGCGTCGCAGAGCGGGGTACTATGTGGTGTGACGCGTCGGGCTAGCGAGGGATTGGCGCTGGGCTAGCGAGGGATTGGCGCTGCGTAAGGGCGGGATTGGCGCTGCGTTAGGGCGGGATTGGCGCTGCGTTAGGGCGGGATCGGCGCTGCGTTAGGGCGGGATCGGCGCAGCGTTAGGGCGGGATTGGCGCAGCGTTAGGGCGGGATTGGCGCAGCGTTATGGCGGGATTGGCGCAGCGTTAGGGCGGGATTGGCGCTGGCGAGGATATAGCTGTTCAGGTCTTTCCGTAGCGCGCCCTGGAGTGCTTGTGTTGCGTGCTGGTTCGGGACTAGCATGCTGCGCGGGGGCGCGATTTGGTACGAAGTAGTTGTTAGTGTTACTGGAACTTGGTTCCGCTACCAGAGACGCACATTTTTCTACTGACATGGTAGGTAAGCACTGTGTTCGCGAGCGAGAATGGCGGGAAGGAGCCATTGCCACTGAGTACAGAGTAAAAAGCAAAAGCTTTGGATCTTGGTGTGGCGGGTGGAAAGGCTTTGCTTGTTCCGTCGCTGGGTTGGGACAGGCGTCGCATAGCACGTCACCTCTCCCCGATCTCAAAATCGCACCCCTCGGGTGTGTATTTGGTTACCGTGTTTCTGTCGCGCCCGTTTTCGCGTGTAGTACAACTCAAAACCTTTGAGTCTTGAGTTTGGTCTGTCCGCTCGCTTTAAGGCTCGCGGGCATCGATTCAGCATCGATCATAAAATGTACACCTGTACACTCCGCGCCGTCTCAAACAATGACGAACAATTACTTGTATTCGAGAACTTAACGACATTGTTTCGCAACAGCTCGCTAGGTAAACGCATTCTGTAACCTTAACTGGGCATGGATCACAGGCCGATGCTGATCGATACCAGCATCGGTTTTTCCTGGCGATGCCCGTTAAAAAAACGCAAACAAGACACGCCCTCTGGCTGAGTCATCCATCTCTCACCATCAATCAGGAGATTTGAGTTCTTCCACCACAACCTACCATCACCTGATCAATCTCACTCCTAGTCTTCTGAAATTGAGCCTATCCAGTCGTCTCCCTTCCCTACCATCTCAAGTACACGTATCGTCTTTTTTCAGGAGGCCTGCAGATCAACAAGGTCTGTGAATTCGCGTGAAGCATTTCACGGGTTGGCGGGATTGGTCAGATTCGGAGTGCAATTTCTGGTGTTCCTGATCGGTCCGACATTTCCTAAAAAGCCATTATCCACGCCTTGGGAATTTCACTCCCAAAGGATCCGCCTTTCTTCCTAGATTCGGAACACCTCGTCAATTCTCTGAGTCAGGTTGACGGACATTGCAGCCCGGAGTTGACGTTAACGGAAAATGGCTCACGTGCAGAATCCGTTCGACCTTCTGACGGGCGGAGGCGGCGCTTCTGACGGGGGCTCCAAGAACCGCCGGAACCGGAAGAAAAAGCAGCAGCAATCGCACGGAGAGGACCAGCAGCAGCAGCAGCAACAGCAGCAGCCGCAGGAGCAACCCAAGGTGCAGCAACAGCAGCAGGAGCCTGAGTTGGTCCAACCTGTTACCAAGACCGAACCTCAACCGGCAACCACCGCTGCTGCTGCTGCTAAGACGGATCAACATGTAGACGCAGCTTCCCCCGCAGCTTCCTCTGCACCTTCCTCCGCAGCTTCCTCTGCTAAGCCCAAGAAGCAGAAAGGGAAAGGCGCGAAGGCGAGAGCCCCTCGATGGGGAGACGAGGTGGAGGAGGAACAAGCGGCCGGCTCAGCCGCCGCTCCTGAGATCTCCTCCAAACCGGCAGCGACGGCAGTCGCGCCGTCAGTACTGCCGTCCTCGCCGCCGCCGTCCGGCACGGAGATCCCTCTGATCAAAGATCCCAAGGCGTACGAGACGGGCGGGCTGATGCCGGCGGAATGGGGAGCGGAAACCGCGCGGGAGGAAGCGTGGCAGCAGGGCGGAAAGAGCAAGGGCGGAAAGCAGGCCAAATCCGCGGGTTCCGCCACCGGCGGAGCGGAAGCTGGCGCCGCTTCCGTCCCTGGCGCTGCTGCTGCGCCTGCGCCAGGCGGGGGCGGACCGTTCAGCGCGGAAGCGGCGGCACTAGAGGCGGCGGCGGAGGCGTGCGGAAGGGATGCGGAGGCGCGGGTGCGGCAGTGGCATGATTGGACTGTCCGCCTGCAGCAGTTGCCCGCTCCTGGTGCGGCTACGGCGTGGAAAGAGGTGCGTGGGACAGGCGAATTGTTCAGGTGGCTTTTGAGCCGACTCAAAAGTCTCCTGGTGCTGCTACGGCGTGGACAGAGGTTGGTGGGACAGACGAATTGTTGAACGAATTACGGATGATTTGAATTGATGATTGTTCATGTTGCTGCGCGGGACTGCGCCTATGAAAGGTTGAGCTTTCTCGCCGTTGGTTGGGCTTTCTCAGTTAAGGCGATAGCGAGTTGCTTCACGATTGGTTGACTGGACCTTCCTGGCGTTCCCTGATCGACTGATTGACTTTGCTCCCTGGCATTCCCTGACACAGATCTTTCTGCGCAGTCGAGCATTGGAGAAGACCGTTGAGAGCTGCATCACGCTGCCTCTGCACCCGCACCACCTGCCGCACCTCCAGGTGAGGGGAGGGGAGGACGAGAAGGGTTGCACCCACACCACCTACCGCACCACCTACCGCACCACCTACCGCACCTTCAGGTAAACATGCCAAAAGCACCTTCAGGTATATCTGACGCGAATGCTGTGCGAAGGGAGGGGAGGGGAGGGGAGAAGAGGGGAGGGGGAAGGGGAAAAAGAAACAAGTATTCGCACAGTACAGTTGTGAAGCGTGTCGTACAGATCCATACATAACTCTACGACACTGCTCAAATGTAATATATGGTAGGTCAAAGAAAAAAAGAAAAGGCTATGGCACCCACCTTTTGCCCCGACCCGACCCCCCTAACAAATTCCCCCATCTTCCCCGGTCGTTCTCCCCCTCGCACCTTTCCCCTCTCCTTCCTCCCCTGGGAAACGCCATCACGTTTTTCTCCCCTCCCCCTCTCCCCCTCCCCCCCCCCTACCCTCCCCAACCCCTTTCCCCCTTCCCCCTTCTTCTCTTTACACCCCTCCCCATTTCCCTCCCGCCCCCCAACCCCCCTCCCCCCTCTCCCGCCCTTTCCCCCCTCTTCTGAACGCCACGATCCCGCCAGGCGCTGCTCTCTGTGTCCCTGGGACATCAGGAGGCGGCTCAGGTGATTTCCCAGGTGGCATCGGACCTGTCGCAGGTGCTATCTGAGGAAGGTGCCACCCTGGGGCTGGGCGGCACAGGTGGACCTGGGGGCAAGGGGGCAGCGGGAGGGGATGTGCGTGGTGCGGCTGCTAAGGCTCTGTCTGCAGCTGTGACTGCAGTGAAGGTGGGTGGGTTTATAGAGGCTGGTAAACCCATGTATGTAGCAGTTATCTTTTCTTTGAACCATCTTATATTCATTCCTGGTAGATTTCTTCGCTCCTCAACCTGCGTTTTATTCTCTTGATAGCTGGTTATTCATCTCTTACTCAATCGCACTCCGTTTCTCTCCCATCATCCATGCCCCATCCCTCCCCTTCCAGCTGGGGGGCTCTGGGTGGGTTTTGGAGCAAGTTGACTTGACTTTTGGGTCGGCCCAATAGGCACCTTACTCCCTTTCATCTGCTCACACATCCATGCCCCACCCTCCCCTTCCAGCTGGGGGGCTCTGGGTGGGCGGTGGAGCGGATTGCAATGCAGCTTCGGGACGCTGGCGTTTCTTCAAAGCTGCAGGAGATGGAAGCCAAGGTGCGTTCTAAATGAGGGGGCTGGGACGGGAGTGCTTCGTCCAAGGGACGGGAGACGGAAGCCAAGGTAAGGATGAGCGGAAGGGGTGAAGGAGAAAGAATTGCCGGGGTTTGGGATCGCAGGGAGTTGAGGACATTGGGATGTCACAGGAAGGCAGCAGAAGCTACTGTAGCTTTCCCTGGCTGGTGCCTCTTCGAAGCTACAGGAAGTGGAGGCAAAGATAACTCAGGGGAAAAGGGTTGACGGGGAAAGGTTGTTGGGGGTTCAGTGGTCAGGGATGTGGGAATGCAAGGGAATGCAAGGGAATGCAAGGGAATGCAAGGGAATGCAAGGGAATGCAAGGGAATGCAAGGGGGCCTGGGATCTGCAGCAGCAAATGCTGATTCCTCTGTTGAATCCCCTGCCTCTCTTACCCCCTCTACCAGGCGGTGTCGATGGAGCATCAGCTGCAGCTCATTGCGGCTGGGGCCGCAGCATCAGGCAACACCTGTACTATCTCAAGACCTCCCCCATTCCCCTGCCTCTCCTACCCCCTCTACCAGGCAGCGTCAATGGAGCATCAGCTGCAGCTCATTGCCGCTGGGGGTGCAGCAGCAGCGGCGGCCGTCGCAGGCACAGCAGCAGCAGGGATGGCAGGCGACGAGGGGGGAGCAGCAGCACGCGGCATGTATGTACTCTGAACCTCCTCCTCATTTCTGCTCTGATTTGGTTGACCGAGTCTCGGATCACCCGTGTTCTCCACTGCCTGCATGCTCTGGCAACACTACCGACTGCCACTTCCCCCTCCTCTCCCCCCACTCACTCTCTCCTCCCTCTGTCTGTCCTCTCTCCCCTTCATTATCCCGTACGAGCCTAACCCAGCTGGTAAACATAGTCGGGTCTCGAGTCACCATCCTCCTCTCCAGCCTGCAATCCCTGGCTCGAATCCCTCCCTCTTCTCTCCTCTCTCCTCTCCCCCGTTTCCCCCTCCCCTCTCCGCCCCCTCAGGAGGCTATCTCAGCTGGTCAACATTACTGAGTCTCGCATCACCCTCCTCCTCTCCAGCCTGCAATCCCCAGCGCCATCACCAGCCGAATCCCTCTCTCCCGCTGCAGCCGAAGCAGCCGCTGCAGCCGCCCATGCTTTACAGTCCGTGCGTGATCTCACATCCGAAATCGTCCGGCGGAAAAAACTCCCACCAACACTTAGCTCGGCTGCTCAGGGGCAAGCCGGGAGTCTGGCTACCGCGGCGGTTACAGGGACAGGGGCGGGCGGGAAAGCTTTGCCTGCTGCTGCTGCCGCTGCAGGGGGGGAAGACGGATGGGAGACTCAAGGGGGGGGAGGGAAGGGGGGGAAAAAGGGAGGGAGGAAGGGCAAAGGCGCAGCATCAGGGGCGGCAGAAGGAGCAGCAGCCGCAGCAGCAGCAGCAGCAGGGGCGGCAGCTGTGGCGGATGCGAGGAGGAAACTGGAAGAATCGGCAGCAGAGAGCAGCAAGCTGAGGGCTCAGCTGGAGGCAGCAGAAGCAGAGGCATCGAGGCTGCGGCTGCTGTGGCTGGATGCAGAGGCCAGGCGGAAGCAGCTGGAGGAGCAGGTTGCTGCTGCTGACTCTGCTGCTGCTGGTGGGAAAGTGAGTTTCTAGCTGACCCAAGCTTGGCAGAGGCAGAAGTGGCGAGGCAGAGGCGTTGAGGGTACAGGCGCCGTGGTTAATGCTGAGGCGAGGAGGAAGCAGCTGGACTGCTGCTGGTGAATTTGTGCTGCTCTGCGCTCACAGCGATGTGCTGGGTCCATGTTGTCTTCTCCTGCTTATGACCCCGTTCTCTCCCCGTCTGCACCCTTCTCTCCCCTTCTCTCCCCTTCTCTCCCCTTCTCTCCCCTTCTCTCCCCTTCTCTCCCCTTCTCTCCCCTTCTCTCCCCTTCTCTCCCCTTCTCTCCCCTTCTCTCCCCTTCTCTCCCCTTCTCTCCCCTTCTCTCCCCTTCTCTCCCCTTCTCTCCCCTTCTCTCCCCTTCTCTCCCCTTCTCTCCCCGTCTGTCCCTTTCTGCCCCCTGCTGCCTTCTCCCAGCCCCTTGCTCCAGCCCAGAACGGGGCCCCTGCACCGGCACCCGTAGCAGCAGCACACGCCGACCAGCAGCAGCAGCAGCACGAGCAGCAGCAGCAGGGCGAGCAGCAGCTGACGCCAGAGCAGCTGCATCAGCTGCGGTGTGCGCAGCAGCTGGGCGTGGTGCATGCCCTCGAGTCTGTGCTGCAGCGCCCGCAAATGGCCCTTCCAGGGCAGATCGGAGGGCCGTTCTCGGTGAGTGGGAAAGGGGGTGTGAACGCGTGCTTAGTCGCAGCAGCTGGGCGTGGTGCATGCCCTCCAGTCCGTGCTGCAGCGCCCGCAGATGGCCCTCCCAGGCCAGATTGGGGGGCCGTTCTCGGTGAGTGAAAGGGCTGTGCCCACACGCCTTGATTTCTTTTTCCTGTCTTAATGAGGGGCAGCTCAGAGCAGCCGCTGATTCCAGAGCAATGGCTGACATAAAGGCAGCGCTGATGGCCGTGGTGGGGCGGGCAGTGGAGAAAATTGATGAGCTGCCGCAACGGGCTGTCGCAATGGGCTGTCGCAATGGGCTGTCGCAATGGGCTGTCGCAATGGGCTGTCGCAATGCGTTGTCGCAACGGGCTGTCGCAACGGGCTGTCGCAATGGGATGTCGCAATGGGCTGCCGCAACGGGCTGTCGCAATGGGCTGTCGCAATGGGCTGTCGCAATGGGCTGTCGCAATGGGCTGTCGCAACGGGCTGTCGCAACGGGCTGTCGCAATGGGCTGTCGCAATGCGCTGTCGCAACGGGCTGTAGCAATGGGCTGTCGCAATGGGCTGTCGCAATGGGCTGTTGCAATGGGCTGTTGCAATGGGCTGTCGCAATGGGCTTTCTCCTCCACGTCGCCTCCCCCCCTCCATTCCCCCCATCACTCCCTTGCACTCACAGGGAGCCCCGGATCGTGAAGCAGCGGTGATGGCGGTGGTGGGGCGGGCAGTGGAGAACCACCTCAGTGCGCTCTCTGCCCTGCTGCACGCTAAGCTGGACCAGCTCAAATCGTAAGCTGCTTGTTTTCCAGGTGATCTTTCAGGTGATCTTTCAGGTGATTCTTTTTATCGAGTCACATAAATGGTATAAAAGAGTCACCTCAACTTCGTCGTTTTCCTGGGCCATGCTGCCAAACTGCACCAGCTTATTGTAAACTGCCTTCAGATGAGCTTCCAGGTGGCTCTTCAGGTGTTCTGTCAGGAGACATGTCAGGTGCGTTGTGGTATTTGAGCAGAAGATGAGTCCCCAGAAAGACGGCACCCTTCATCCCTCCCCACCCTCCCCCCCGTCACTCCCCACCCTCCCCTCCCCACCCTCCCCTCCCCTCCCTCCCCCCTGTCACTCCCCACCCTCCCCTCCCCTCCCTCCCCCCTGTCACTCCCCACCCTCCCCTCCCCTCCCTCCCCCCTGTCACTCCCCACCCTCCCCTCCCCACCCTCCCCCCCGTCACTCCCCACCCTCCCCTCCCCACCCTCCCCCCTGTCACTCCCCACCCTCCCCTCCCCACCCTCCCCCCTGTCACTCCCCACCCTCCCCTCCCCACCCTCCCCTCCCCACCCTCCCCTCCCCACCCTCCCCTCCCCACCCTCCCCCCTGTCACTCCCCACCCTCCCCTCCCCTCCCCGTCACTCCTCTCCCCCCCTCCCCATCCTCTCTCCACACTATATCTTCCAGAGCCGGCGAGCGCCGGCATTTGAAGCTGCAGAAGGTGAAAGCGGAGAAAGTCACTCGTTCAACCTGCCCTCCCTTCCTTTTGCCCCACCCTCCTCCCTTTCCATCCCCCTTCCAGCGCGGGCGAGCGCCTGCTGTTCTCCCAGAAGAAGCTGGAGAAGATGAAGGCGGAGAAGGACGCTCTTCCCACCACCTCCTCCCCGCCCAACCCCCCACACCCCCACACCACACCCCATCCCCCCAACCCCTGTACACCCCCCCCCTCCTCTCCCCCCTTGGGCCTCCAGCGCGGGCGAGCGCCTGCAGTTCTCTCAGGAGAAGCTGCAGAAGATGAAGGCGGAGAAGGACGCTCTGCATGCAAAGGGGAAACCCCAGCTGGTGGGTCTCTTACGCTCTGGGTTCAGGGTTTCAGATGAGGGCTGCTAAGGGTTCGGGTACGAGGTTTCAGATGAGGGCTGCTAAGGGTTCGGGTACGAGGTTTCAGATGAGGGCTGCTAAGGGTTAGGGTACGTGGTTTCAGGGCTCAAGGACGTTCCAGCCAGTGGGTGAATGATGTTTAGCTTGAGGTTTAGCCACTACTTCTGCCATTTCCTTCCCTTATTTGTCACTTCCCCTTCAGAGAAAGCTGAATGCTTTTGAGCAAAAACTTAGCTTTGATTACTGTCCTTCCTTTAGTGGCTACATGCTCTGTGCTGCACTCTTGCCCTGTAAAATCCCGACGTGTCCTAGCTACCACTCATCCCCGTCGTGTCCTCGCCACCACTCATTCTCTCCCGCGTTCATTTCCCCTGTTCCCCGTCCCTCTCCTCTCTGCTGCTGGACAGGCCGCAGCTCTCGCCAGGCCGCTGCAAGCCATAGAGCAGATGCACAAGGTGGGTGGGTGGGTGGATTGGTGGGTGGGTCGGTGGGTCGGTGGGTGGGTCGGTGGGTGGGCCGGTGGGTGGGTCGGTGGGTGGGTCGGTGGGTGGGTCGGCGGGTGGGTCGGTGGGTGGTATCTCCCCAAGAATCGAAACCAGAACCGAGTTAGCGAGGTCCAGTCAGTCATGGCCGAGGCGGAAGCCCAGGAAGCGGCTCTGCAGAAGCCTCAGCTGTTGTATTCCCATGCTCTCGTCTCTTATCCCCCTTCTCTCTTCAATCAACCTTCAGACCCGTGCAGGCGAGGTCCAGTCAGTCATGGCCGAGGCGGAAGCCCTGGAAGCGGCTCTGCAGAAGCCTCAGCTGCGGTCGGCTGTGGCGCTGCTGCCGCCCATGCCGTCAGTCAACGACTTCCTGCAGCAGATCGGGGTCACTCTGCACCAGGTACAACCAGGGAAGTGGTCACCCTGCACCAGGTGTGTTCTGAGCTCCCTCATAAGCAGGTGGACAGCAGATAGGGGTCACCCTGCACCAGGTACAACAACCAGGGGAGGGGTCACCCTGCACCAGGTACAACAACCAGGGGAGGGGTCACCCTGCAGCAGGTACGATTGTGAATACAGTGAGATATCGCCACGAGGGGCATACATTGAAAGCCCCAGCTGTGCACTCAGCAGTGGCGCTGCTGCCGCTGATGCCACTGTCAGTCAACAGCTTCCTGCAGCAGATAGGAGTCTCCCTGCACCAGGCGTGTTGTGTATGAGGGAGGGGTCACTCTCCACCAGGTGCGTGTGGGAACATGGTGTCTCATTTCCACGTGAGGCATATTGATAGGCCCTTCCAGGCAGTCAGCCGCCCATGCCCTCAGTCAGTGACTTCCTTCAGCAGAGAGGAGTCATTTTCCACCAAATGCGTGTGGGGAAGGCCTGATCTTGCATCAGGTTTTACTGGGGAAGGTCCTGTCTTGCAAGCTGGTGCTGCCGACTTTGCTGCTGCTTCTGCTGCTCTTCCCCTTCCCCCCACCTCTTCTCGGCCTCCTCCTCATACCTCGGGTGTGTATCACGAGTATGCTGCTCCCATGCCCCTATTCTGCTCTCTTCCTCTCCCCCCCCACGCCTTCTCGGCCCCCTCCTCACACCTCAGGTGTGTATCAAGGGTATGCTGCCATACGAGGAGGTTTTAGTCAACTCGTCTGCTGCCACCCCTGCCTCTGCTGCGCTCATGCCCCTAATCTGCTCTCTTCCCCTCCCCTCCCCCCTCCCCTTGCCCCCTGTCCCCTTTCACTTCAGGTACATCAAGATTATGCGGCCATCCAAGCAGGTGCTGCCAACATGGCTGCTGCCGCCGCCACCGCCACCGCTGCTGCTGCTGTTCCAACCCGCATACTCTGCCACCCCCCCTCCTCCCCCGCCTCCTCTCGCTCCCCCCCCCTCGCCCCTCAGGTGCATCATGAGTATGCGGCCATCCAAGCAGGTGCTGCCAACTCGGCTGCTGCAGCAGCTGCTGCTGTTGCTGCTGCCGCCACAACGGCACTTGCAACTGCTGCTCCACCTGCCACTGCCACTGGCAAGAAGCAGGGAGCAGGGAGGAAAGGAGGCATGGGCGGCGCTGCTGCTGCTGCTGCTACTACCGTCCCTGCTGCTACCCCTGCTCCTGCTCCTCCTCCTGCCGCTGCTGCTGCTGTTCCTGTGCCTGCTCCTGCCCCTGTTGCCATGCCAGCTGCACCAGCAGCAGCAGCTCCAATGGAGGCAGTAGCAGCAGCACCCAAGCCAGCATGGGGCGTGCAGTCTGCTTGGGGGGGTTCAGGCTTTGGTGGCGTGATCGGGATGATGGGGATGACTGGATGAGGGATCGAGGGGATGGGGGAAGGATGGGATGAGGGGTCAATTGGCTAACACAGTCTGCTTTTGGGGGTTCAGGGTTTGGTGGCGTGATTGGGATGAGGAGATAATGTGGTATAGGGATGATGCGACAAGGGATGATGGGATGAGGGGGATGAGGATGATGGGTTGATGGGTTTAACGTTCAAGGGGGATGCTGGGGGTACTGGACAAAGGAGGGATGGTGGGATGTAAGGGATGCTGGATGCGAGAGGTAATTATTGGGAAGGGAAGGGGGGTTGGCTGTTGAGTCCACTCAAAGGGCGGGGGTTTGCTTTATGGGAAAGCAGACAGGTGGTTGTGGAAGGAGATTACTCGAAGCTCGAAGGGCAAGTAATGGTCTGGGCAAATGGAGATGGGCCTGTAACTAATATATTGCAAGATGCTTCTGACTTTGAAACATTGCAGGCATTCTTCTTGAACCAGAGTTGGGCGTGCAGTGACGGGGTTTTCATCCTGCTTCCTACATGGCATGGTATGGTGAGCACTTTTTGTATGAGACGATTGAGCATAATCACAAGGTTATTGTGATCTCCCGATAATTAAGCATGACCAGCTCTGTTGGTGTAGACGTGGCGTTGGCAAGAGCAAATCTCCTAGTTGTGGCAGTGGCGCAAATCTACGCATCGACACGCGATGTTGGCACAGCTTCCACAAGCATTCCGCACAAGCCTTTGGCGAAACCTTGGCGGAGGGTTACCTTTGGATGTCGCACAAGCCTTTTTGCGAAGTGATGCGTAGCTCGCGAATCCAGAAAGTGAACCGAGGTTCGACAGACCTTGCTTCATGCTCCCCGTGCCGAATGTATCGAACCTCTTCGTCACGTCATCGTGAAGGTTTGGGAGACGTTATAGTGCGTTGTGATGAGTTATAGCCTGTTGAAATGAAACATTGCGAGGTTTCACGAAAATCCTGACGAAAGGGGCAGCATGTTATCGAGATATCTCCCTGCGCCTTGCTGACGCGGTGCGGGTGATGCTGACTCTGCGACGGCAGAAAGCCGCAGACGGGAAGTCGCCGAGGAAGTGGTCAGAAGCAACTGTCGCATGTGCCATCCTCCCCACTGAGAGAGACACCTGCCCCGCAAGCAATGGGCCTGAGTTATCTCTAATACGGTGAAATGAGGTTCTTTGCGATATAGAACTTTTCGTCAAACATCTAGTATGGTTGGGCAGGGTTTCAACGGAAAACGAATTCTTGTGACGCGCGCGCAACTTCGTCATACCCCCTGCTACAGGATGAAATAAATCTACAGCCTCTACAATATATCACTGTCAGAGCTCTCCCACGCATTCTGCTCTCATGTGCCATGAGCAGCTCAGGAAGTTCTTGCGGCTCCTTCTCGCCACGGATTCTTGCCGTGCTCGCTTCGCCCCGCTCTTAGTTGTACACAAGCGAACAACTCGTTCGCCACGCCGCGTTCCTCCCCGACAAGATGAATCTCTCCCTCCTAAGCTTCTTGGCAAAGCGTGTCCCTTTTACTGCTCTTACTCGACAGCGTCGCGTCGCGCCGCGTCGCATTCGTTTCGCCTCCGTTTTAGTAGGTCCCTCAGTCACTATGAACTACTACCGCATAAAACAAAAAAATCCTATTTATTTTAGGAAAATATCCAGCCACTGAAGTGCCTGAAACTAGACAAGACAGAATCAAATCCTGGGGAGCACGCCACCTCTTGAAACCCCTCTCGTTAGAAGCACGTCACGTTCCCTGCTCGAGCAACCGAAAGATTTTGAAAGTAGTAGTAGTAGTAATAGTTGGTTATTTTTTTCATTCTTCCGGGAAGTTAAACGCAGCCGGGATATCATTGGCGGAGCCTTGCGCGGTAGCCGCCGTAATGGATCGTGATCGCGATCGCGCAAGCCGCCGCCGTCAGCTTGGCGCGCTGTTCCTGCTGACGAGCCTCGCGGCGGCGTTAACGGGTGTGGGCTGTGTGAATCTCGCCAACTCCCAAGGTCCGTTACTATTGCGTCGCCTGTCAGCCGGTTTTTTCAGTCGACTCATGCTAGGCTAGTAGGGAGTTGGCGAAGCACCCTTCTCCTTCCCTGCTCCGCCAACAAACTTTAACTCTCTAGCATGAGAGCTGCGATAAATGAACCGATTTTCGAAAGAGAATAGACGAAGCACCCTTGTCCCTCCCTGCTCCACCTCCCGCTCCTCCCCTCCCGGCCCTCCTGGCCCTCACAATCCCGCCTGGCCCTCACAATCCCGCCTGGCCCTCACAATCCCGCCTGGCCCTCACAATCCCGCCTGGCCCTCACAATCCCGCCTGGCCCTCACAATCCCGCCTGGCCCTCACAATCCCGCCTGGCCCTCACAATCCCTCCTGGCCCTCACAATCCCGCCTGGCCCTCACAATCCCGCCTGGCCCTCACAATCCCGCCTGGCCCTCACAATCCCGCCTGGCCCTCACAATCCCTCCTGGCCCTCACAATCCCGCCTGGCCCTCACAATCCCGCCTGGCCCTCACAATCCCGCCTGGCCCTCACAATCCCGCCTGGCCCTCACAATCCCGCCTGGCCCTCACAATCCCTCCTGGCCCTCACAATCCCTCCTGGCCCTCACAATCCCGCCTGGCCCTCACAATCCCGCCTGGCCCTCACAATCCCGCCTGGCCCTCACAATCCCGCCTGGCCCTCACAATCCCTCCTGGCCCTCACAATCCCTCCTGGCCCTCACAATCCCTCCTGGCCCTCACAATCCCTCCCGGCCCTTCCCGCCCCTCTGCCCCCAGTGCGCGCTCTTATGGAGTGCCAGCAGGTGCGGGGGCGGAGGTTTCGCGGGTGGAGGGGCGTTCTGGGTGGACTGGAAATCATAAAAAGAAGCCTCTCCGGGATCTTTCTGCTCTTTCTGCTCTTCCTGCTCTTCCTGCTCTTCCTGCTCTTCCTGTTCTTCCTGCTCTTCCTGCTCTTCCTGCTCTTCCTGCTCTTCCTGCTCTTCCAGCTCTTCCTGCTCTTCCTGCCCTTCCCGCCCCTCTGCCTCCAGCGCGCGCTCTTATGGTGTGCCAGCAGGTGTGGGGGCGGAGGTTTCGCGGGTGGCGGGTTGGGGGGGACTGCACCGATGCAGCTTACATCAGCTGCAACGCGCAAGGCATGGTGACCAGCATGTGAGTGCAAGTGAACACCACTTGGGTGCCATAGGTCTTTACGTGGCAGCTTACATCAGCTGCAACGCGCAAGGCATGGTGACCAGCATGTGAGTGGGGATGGGCAGTTTTGAGCCGACTCAAGAGCGTGTTTTGAGTCGACCGAAACATAGTGTGCTTTGTGTTTTGGGGCATATGGCGTCCTTACTTCCCAATCGCTTGGTTTTTTTAAGATTTGTAAAAAAACATATCCTTCCTTGGTTGGAGTCCATACTTATATTTTTGCTGTTTTTTAGGTGGTTTTTTATAATTCTCAAAAATCACCTAAGAAAGAGTCGAATCAAAAGGACAACTATGTCCTTCATTGGAGTCCGTACTTCTATTTTTGAGTCGCGTAAAAAATTCCTCATCCATGGCGTCCGTACTTCCTTCCCCCAGGGATATTCAGCAGAGTGAGTTAGCCGGGCCCATTCCAACAACGATTGGCCAACTGAGCGGCCTAAAATACCTGTGAGTACTTTGACGACGATTATCCCATTGCATGCACACCATGCCATGCCATGCCATGCCATTCCATGCCATGCAATGCATTGCATGCGATTTGACCATATCTTTGAGGCACCTCAAAAGTCGCCCGTATCAATCCGTGTCACCTCAAGGGCCCATCAGAAGTCACCTCAAGGGCCCATCAGAAGTCACCTCAAGGGCCCATCGGAGGTCACCTCAAGGGCCCATCGGAAGTCACCTCAAGGGCCCATCAGAAGTCACCTCAAGGGCCCATCAGAAGTCACCTCAAGGGCCCATCAGAAGTCACCTCAGGGGCCCATCAGAAGTCACCTCAAGGGCCCATCAGAAGTCACCTCAAGGGCCCATCAGAAGTCACCTCAAGGGCCCATCAGAAGTCACCTCAAGGGCCCATCAGAAGTCACCTCAAGGGCCCATCAGGGATCTGAGTGACCGGATGCATCATTGCATGCGGCCCATATGGATCCGTTTTTTATTCCGTTACATTGCGTATGCTCGTCTTGACTTAATTCGCTGGCCCATCAGGGATCTGAGTGAGAACAACTTGACCGGGCCAATTCCGCGGGCCATTGGGCAACTGAGAAACCTGGAGCTGCTGTGAGTGCATTAGATTTCCACTGTGTTTGAGTCGACGGAGACCACATCCATCCGTGGCGAGGCTGCTTCAGGGTGACTGGGCCCAGTCGCACAACTTTTGCGGCCCTCAAAAGCCCAGTCGCACGACTTGACGCGGCCCATTCCTCCTGCCATTGGGCGACTCAGAAGCCTGGATCTGCTGTGAGTCGTAGTGCTGACTCATAAACTGCTTACTTCGGCCTTGGCTGGGTTTGGGTCCGTTCTCTTCATAACCTTTCGGGCAGCACGCACACTGCTGAGTGTTTTGGCATTATCTCTCCCTTCAAACGTTTTCTTACCATCGGTCGTTTCCTTACTATCTGTCGATTCCTTACCGCTGTATGGCGGTCCCCCAGAACCCTTTGGAAGAACAATCTAAGCGGCACCATACCAGTAGCAGTGACCGGGCTTCAGAGGCTGAGCTACCTGTGAGTATCCTGATTGGTTCTTCGTTTCCTGTGCTTCGCACTTTAGGTAAATCACCTTTTCCTGTGCTTCGCACTTTAGGTAAATCACCTTTTCCTGTTTAGGTAAATCGCCTTTTTCCGTGCTTCTTTTGTAACATTCCCCTTGCTTCCAACCCCCTCATTATGGTTTTACTTATATCCATTTTTGTATTCCAGTTCCAGTGTTCCCGTGCTAATTTTTCATATCTTCTTGCGACATCTCCCCTTTGTAAATCTCTTCCCTGGCCCCATTGGTTCCACCCTCGACCAATATGCAGATTCTGATAATTTGCTGTAATAATTTGTAACCCATAAGCAAATTCTGATAATTCCCAACCCTGCCTCAGGGACCTAAGTGAGAACAAATTAACCGGGCCCATCCCATGGGCTATCGGCAGCATGAGCAGCCTGCAATTCCTGTCAGTGCCTGTCATGGACATAGAGAACTGTGTGAGAACATCACTTTCAATTAGGGTTGAGCAACGGGTCGGGTCGGGTCGGGTTAGGCCAATGCTCAAGCCTGCTTGCACTTCCAACTTTAATCGGCAGCATGACTTTACGAATGCATCGGCTATCGGCAACATGAGCAGCATGCAGTTCCTGTCAGTACCAAGGGAAACTAGGCTGAATTAGGTTTTTGAGAATTCTCAAAAACCTAAATGAGCAGCCTGCAGTTCCTGCGAGAGATTTTCGAGAATTTCCGAGAATTTTGAGAAGCCAAAAAAAATTCCTGCAGTTCCTGTCAGTGGCACGGAAAACTGAATTAAATGCTAAATCATTTTCTCTTGCTGGAAAGTGCATTTTCTGTCATCTCAACACAAGGCGGGCTTTTTGAGAGTTCTAAGAAATCTCTCACAATGACGTTGACAAGAGGTGGGCAGTGTGCTCTTGAGAATTCTAAGAAATCACCCGTATTCTCATGGCGACACTCTGTCGCTTGGCCGTGCCACTCAGCCACTCTGTCTCTCACTTGGAGAGAGCCGTGTGATAAGAATCTAGTTTTTTTTTACGTCTCAAAACTCTGCTTTTGAGGCGCCTCAAAAGCTGTCGCTCACTTGGAGAGGGGTCTGTATGATAAGAATCTAGTTTCGAGATGTCGCAAAACTCTGTTACAAACTTGGAACTGTGCCTCGGCCGTGCGTCATGATCCCCCCCGCCCCCCCCCCCCATCGTTCGTTTGCTGTTGGATGGTCCCATGGTCTTCAGAACCCTCTGGCAGAATGAGATAACTGGCGGGATACCAGCGACAATTGGCAAGCTCCTAGACCTCACCTATGTGTGAGTGTGGCCGTTCCTCCACCCGATAATAGGTGCTTGCCTAACCCACACAGCTGGATGGTCTTCAGAACCCTGTGGCCGAGCAAGGTAATTGGCGGGATACCAGCAACAGTCGGCAAGCTCCTAGACCTCAGCCACGGGTGAGTGTGGCCGTTCCTCCTCCAGAGAACAGGGGCTTCTCTAACCCACACAGCTGGGTGGTCTGGTCAGAAGGTCAGAAGGTCAGAAGGTCAGAAGGTCAGAAGGTCAGAAGGTCAGAAGGTCAAAAGGTCAGAAGGTCAGAAGGTCAGAAGGTCAGAAGGTCAGAAGGTCAGAAGGTCAGAAGGTCAGAAGGTCAGAAGGTCAGAAGGTCAGAACCCTGAGGCAGAACAGAATAACTGGCGGGACACCGGCGACAATCAGCAAGCTCCAAGTTTTCATCACCATCACTTGCCAGCCTCTGGTTCCCCTCTTTCCATCTTTCCATCTTTCCATCTTTCCATCTTTCCATCTTTCCATTTTTCCATCTTTCCCTCTCTCCCTCTTTCCCTCTCTCCCTCTTTCCCTCTCTCCCTCTTTCCCTCTCTCCCTCTTTCCCTCTCTCCCTCTTTCCCTCTCTCCCTCTTTCCCTCTCTCCCTCTTTCCCTCTCTCCCTCTTTCCCTCTCTCCCTCTTTCCCTCTCTCCCTCTTTCCCTCTCTCCCTCTTTCCCTCTCTCCCTCGTTCCCTCTCTCCCTCGTTCCCTCTCTCCCTCGTTCCCTCTCTCCCTCGTTCCCTCTCTCCCTCTTTCCCTCTCTCCCTCTTTCCCTCTCTCCCTCGTTCCCTCTCTCCCTCGTTCCCTCTCTCCCTCGTTCCCTCTCTCCCTCTTTCCCTCTCTCCCTCTTTCCCTCTCTCCCTCTTTCCCTCTCTCCCTCTTTCCCTCTCTTTCTGATCCCTTTTCGTGGCCCCCAACCCAACCCTTTTGCCCGTCAGCGACCTGGGTGAGAACAGTTTAACCGGGCCCATTCCATCGACTATCGGCAGCATGAGCAGCCTGAAGTCTCTGTGAGTATTCGGAGTTCGCAGAGCTGCTTTGCCTCTACTATCCCCAGGCCCCAAGGCACTTTGGCACAGCAATCTAAGCGGCTGGTTACCAGCAAGCTGCCGTGGCTGCTGCTGTTGAGGTGCCTAAAAAATCCGTGTGTGTGGAGTCTATTTTTGAGGCGCCTCAGAAATAAACTACTATCCCCAGTCCCCAGGGCACTTTGGCACAGCAATCTAAGCGGCCGGATACCAGCAAGCTGCTGTGGCTAGCTACTGCTGGTGAATGTGTTTCCCAGTACATGTGTTTGCCTCTACTATCCTCCCCAGGGCACTTTGGCACAACAGGTTAAGTGGGTCGATACCAGCAACATTGGGCAGACTAGTAGACCTCAGCTATTTGTGAGCCCAGCTTACTGCAATAACTGGGACTTTTCGATTTCGGAATGCACGTTGCATTTTCTGTGCTGCCTGGCCTCTGTTGAGAGTTCTCTAGATGCTTCAGATGTGTGAATCATGATGTGATGCTTCTCGTCAGCATCCTGCCCCCCCTCTCACCCACACCCCCCACCCCCTCCCCCCTTTCCTCGGCCCTTTCTTCAATCCCTCTAACCCCATGGTGTTCAACCACATGGCCAATCAGGGATTTAAGTGTGAACAACTTAAGCAGCTCCATTCCTTCTACTATTGGCGGCATGAGCAGCTTGAAGTTCCTGTCCGTATCATGGGCCATGACATGGCCAGTACTTCTTGAGTACCTCACTCACTTGAGTAGGTGGCAAGCGGCAGTGCTTCCTTCACCTGATGAAGCCACGTGTACTTTTCATTAAATTTGTTACACGGTGTACCAACTTCCAGGTGTCAACTCCTTGTGTGTTCGTTTGTGTGTTCCTTTTTGCGTTCCTTTGTGCGTTCTTGGTTTGCTTGTTGTTGCTTGCTGTACTCTATTTTCCAATCTCATTTCCTCGTTATGAGATCTTCCACTTATTGCAATTTTCTTCTCTGTACACTAATTGCAGGGACCTGTATTCTAATGCATTGTCTGGAACCATCCCAGAAACCATTGAAAAACTTACCCATCTGACAAGATTGTACGCTTCCAAACCATTTCAAGCCATTCCAAACCATTTCAAACCATTTCAAGCCATTTCAAGCCACTGCTCGTGTTTGGGTCCGGGTACTTCGTAAGTCGAGAATAGCTGGGTTCCCTTCATCCTTCTTGCACTCATGACTTCTAGGCTCCCTGTGTGTGTCTCTGCCTACCTCTCACCCTTGATATCTCATGAATTATCCCTGTGTGTGTTTCTGTCTAATCACCACCCTCTCCTCATGTGCTCCTCCCCCCCCCTGGTCATGTACCAGAGTCCTTCAATACAACAAGCTGTCGGGCTCCATTCCCGATTCCATCAGCAGGCTTTCAAAGCTCAAGGAACTGTGAGTCTTATTATTTTGGCATTATAAGGCAAAGGGGAACTACAGAGTGGTTCTCCTGACAGTAGGTGACCATGTGGCCCGCGTTGGGCCGTGTGGCGTCACCCTCCTCTTTCATGCCCGCTTTCGACGCTTCTTTGCTGCGGTCATGTGTTCCAGAGCAGGTCGTCGTCACTCATGGTCATGTGTTCCAGAGCAGGGCGTCGTCACTCATGGTCATGTGCTCCAGAGCAGTCTTGCTGGAATGCTCCCTCTTAAAAGATTTCGGATAATCATAAATAATACTTTGAAGCGGTCAATGTTTCAGTAATGTTTCGCACAATAGCCTTGTTGGACTGCTCCCTCCAGCGGTTGGCAGCCTTATCGGGCTTTCATACTTGTAAGATAATCTTCACATGTAGTGTCATCTTGTGTTGTATCACTTGCCTTTCTTGCCAGCGTGTACCTCTACTGTTTATAATTTAATCGCTCATTGTGTTTTGCTTGGTTATCCACAAAGTTCATATATTTGTGTAATTCATACCAGAGTTTCTGTTTCCTGATGCTCACATTCCTTTTCCAGCTTATACAGTGTGAAAATATATTGTGAGGTCTGCATTTGCAGGAACATAAGTGGAACGGCTGTCACTTGCCCACCGGACTTCAGCCGCTGTGCGGTCAAGCAGAGGAAATGATCTCTTGATTCTCGTGTTTTTGTACATCTTGACATTTGTATTTTTAGGAACGTAACTGGAACGGCAGTCACATGCCCACCGGACTTCAGCAGCTGTGTGGTCAAGCAGAAAGGTTCAAGTGCTTTTTGCAAGATTTGTGCCGCCTTCTGCACCTCTTGCATCAAGCCAAAGCCCTCCTGTGAGTTTTTTGTCTGACTCAGAAGCCACCTTAGAAGAGCTCAAGTGCGTTTTGCAAGACTAGAGCCGCCTTCTGCTCCTCTTGTGTCAAGCCAACACCCCGTGAGTTATGAGTAACCTCAGAAAGTAACCTCAGAATCAGCTCAAGTGCTTTCTGCGGGGCGTGTTGTTCCTTCCTGGCCTCATCATGTGGCGTTTCTCACTTGTGATTGCAAATCGACCCTTGCTGCAACAGCAACGGAGGCCGTAAACACAACCACCAACAGCAGCAGCAGCAGCAGCAGCGGCGGCGGCGGCGGCGGCGTTAGCAGCAGCCAGCCCGTGTCATCGGCGTCTGGGAGTGGAAGCGACCTTTCAGTGGGAGCCATCGCAGGCATCGCTGTTGCTGCTGTCACTGTGCTCCTCCTGCTCTGCGCTGCTGTTCTGCTCTGCCTCATGCACGTCAGGCGGAAGAACTCCAAGGGTGAGACCCAAAGGAGAGCCCCAAAGGAGAACCGCAAAGGAGATCCGCAAAGGAGAACCGCAATGGAGATCCGCAAAGGAGATCCGCAAAGGAGAACCCTAAAGGAGAACCCCAAAGGAGAACCCCAAAGGAGAACCCCAAAGGAGAACCCCAAAGGGTAGCAGTCGGCTCATTCTGCTCTAGAACAATCTCTCCATTGTTTAGGCGGCGCGCCTTAGTAACAGACCCTTCCTGCTCTGCGTTGCTCTTCTGCTCTACCTGATGCACATCAGGCAGAAAAACCCAAAGGGTAGTTTAGAGGGCAGAAAAGCTCAAAGGGTAAGGCCATCTTTTATCTTTCTCACCCCTTTTTCTCTCCCCAGCAACACGAGCAGGCCTGTTCTGCAGCATAGCAGCATAGCAGGCCTGTTCTGCAGCATAGCAGCAACTGAGAACAGTTCACCCTTTCCTACCCTGGCTTGTCCCATGCATTCAAACCTGTTTGACAGCATAGGGAGCCTCGTGCTGCGCGGAGCTCTCATTCGAATATGCCGCAGCACAGCATGCAGCATAGCAGCAAAAGAGCAGTTGACCCTATCACACCTTGTCCTTTCTGGCCCCATGCATTCAGACCTGTTTGGCAGCATAGCAGCCTCAAGCTGCACGGAGTTTTCTCTTCAGCAAGTCGCAGCAGCCACCAACCACTGGGCCAAGGCCAACCGGCTCGGCTCTTGACACGTCTCAAAACGGTATTCCACCCTTTTCTCTTCTCATCAACAACACCACCAGACCTGTTTGACAGCATCGCAGCCTCTTCTTGCACGGAGTTTTCTCTCAAGGAAGTCGCAGCGGCCACCAATCACTGGGCCAAGGCCAACCGCCTGGGCTCGGGCGCCTTTGGGGATGTGTACAAGGGCGTGTGTCCTCGGGACGGCGCCACAGTGTGGGCTGTGAAGCGGGCGCGACTGATCAACGTGGACTTTCAAAGGGAGGTGCGTGGGGAGTGTACATCGTTTCTTGAGGCGCCTCAAAAGGCGTTTCAGTTTTTAAGGCGCCTTAGGGGATGTGTACGAGGGCTTGTGTCCTCGGGGCGGCGCCACAGCATGGGCTGTGAAGCGAGCCCGACTGATCAACGTTGACTTTCAGAGGGAGGTGCGTGGGTGGGGAATGTACAGTTCTTTAAGCCTTTGAACATGTGCACAAGGGGTTGTCTCCTCGAGACAGCACCACAGCGCGGGCAGAAAAGCGGGCGCGTCTCATCATTGTTGCATTGCGCGCTCGCTGTAAAGCAGCGTGGGAAACCCTTCCATAGGGAGGTGAGTAGGAAGCGAACAACCGCAAGGGTTCCCCGTCATCCCATCTTCCCATCTTCCCATCTTCCTTTCTCAAAAATCGTGCGGCTGCTTTAAGACCTCTCAAAACCTGACCGCACCCTTGCCCACGGCAGGTGCAGCAGATGGCTGGCAAGAACCATCCCAACATCGTGCGGCTGCTGGGGTTTGTGGTCGGGGGGAGCATGAGGACACGGCCGGAGCAAATCCTCGTCTACGAGTTTGTGCCCAACGGTGACCTCCAGCATTGGATCCACTCAGGTGTGTCGTTTGAGGGGCCTTACGAATGGGATTGCGGTTGGGTTTGGGGGAGCATGAGGACACGGCCGGAGCAGATCCTCATTTACGAGTTTTGAGTAATGGCCGGGCGACTTCCAGCAATGGATCACCACAGGTGCATCGTTTTGAGGCGCCTCAGACGTGGGTTTGCTGTCAGAGGGAAAACGAGGACGCACGCTTGTAACGAATTCTGATCTACAAGTTTGATCCGCACTTTCCCCTGGAAGGGCGAGCAAGCAGCAGCTCAAGAGGGGGGTACGGAGGGTGCAGGAGTCTGGAGTACCTGCACAGCTTTGGCATCGTGCACCAGTGTCAGACTCATGCTTTTGAATGCTCTTTCGCTCTCTGCTTGCAGCAGACGCCCCCTATGCTCTGAGCCTGCGGCAGTGCCTGGTCATCCTCATCGGCGCCGTGCATGGGCTGGGATACCTATCTGGACAGCGTGGGCATCGTGCACCATGCCAGACTCCTGCTTTTGTGTGCAATGAGTCGATTTTTGAGTCGACTAAAAAATCAGCTTTGGCATCGTGCACCACGCCAGACTCGTGCTTTTGAATGCTCTTTTGCTTTCCGCTTGCAGCAGACGCCCCCTTTGCTCTGAGCCTGCAGCAGCGGCTGGACATCCTCATCGGAGCTGAGCATGGCCTGGAGTACCTGCACAGCTTTGGCATCGTGCACCACTTCGGACTCAGGCTTTTGAATGCTCTTTCGCTGTGTGCTTGCTGCAGACACCCCCCTTTCTCTGAGCCTGCAGCAGCGGCTGGACATCCTCATTGGAGCTGCGCACGGGCTGGCGTACCTGCACAGCTTTGGCATCGTGCATCGCGACATCAAGCCCGCCAACATCCTCATCACTTCCACCATGCAGGCAAGCTCGAGACAGGCTCTTATGAGAAAAGATTGGCTTGTGCAAGTGTTTTCGAGCCCGAATCCAGACAACTCAATGTGCTGGCTTGGGCGAAAGTCTTGAGGGAACAACAATGTGGTGTGGAATCCTTATGAGAATGTTATGTGAATCTCATTTTTTGACAATGAGAAGCGGCAGCCCACATCAGGATTCCCATTCTCCCACATCACAAGGATGCCCGCAATGTTGCAGGGTGTTTTTTAGAATTCTCAAAAACAGGCTGCTTCTCATTTTTTGGCCTTTGAGTCGACTCGAAACGAGGTGAATTCTGAGTTGACACAGAAGTCACCTTTGAACAACGTCGAGTTATCCTGATGTGGGTTGCTTCTCATTTTTTGGCCTACTTTTTTTTGTGAGTGAGCTCTCTTTGTATTTTGTTTGTCTGTCTTGTTTTGAGGTGCCTCAAAACTCAACCTCGTTCGTTGTGCACTTCATTCAATACACGCGGCACAATGCGTAATGCTGCCCTTTGTATGCAGTGCACAGTACTTGCATCAACAAGCTGCTATTCCATTCTTGATGACTCACGGCAATGGTTATGCATCGTTTTTTTGTGTTTTTTTTTTTTTGCTTTGTTTTGTTTGTTTGTTTGTTTGTTTGTTTTGTTTTTTTTTTCCACCTCTCCCATCCTAGGGTTGAGCAAAACCGGGTAATTACCCGACCCGACCCGGTTTTACAATACCTGACCTCGGGTCGGGTATTTTCGGGTCGGGTCCGGGTCGGGTAATATGCCCAGGACCATTACCTGGACCCGGCCTTAGGGGACGGGTAATACAATACCCGCCTGGCGGGTCTGGGTATACCCGACCCGGTTACCCTAAAAAGCGGGTATTACTACCCGCCACTTACTAGTGGGCATCCTAAAAACGGGCTAGGCTAGGTAGGGTTTCTGAAAACGCAACTCTCAAATGAGAGTCGAGTTTTCCGGGGGTCGAATTTCGACCACCCAACTTCCTCCCTTTCACCGCACTTAACTCCTCCCCATCTACAAACTCCAACTTCTCCTCACAAATGCTCCACTCGTCCCCCCTCACCTCCCAAACCGTTTTGCCGCAAAACCTAAAATACAGCGCGACTTACGCCCATGACTAGGTGGAATACCCGACCGGGTCGGGTACCCGTTACCCGACACGTCGGGTAACATTTCGGGTAACGGGTATCGGAAACCCGCCCGGGTAACCTGGACCCGGCCCGCCGTGTAATATTCCGGAATCCGGATACCCGACCCGCCCAAAAAGCAGATCCGGGTCCGGGTACCTGACCCGGGCGGGTATTTTGCTCAAGCCTATACATTCCTACTGTTTCCGTTCTCACAATACTGCATATTGCAACAATGCCCATGGTCTACCCATTCTGCTTCTTCTTGCAGGCCAAGATTGCAGACTTTGGGCTGGTGAGAATGGAAGAGGGCACCACTGTGGCCTCCACTCGAGTGATGGGAACACCAGGCTATGTGGATCTCATCTACCTTAAGACATCCAAGGCAACCACTGCCACAGACGTCTACAGGTGATGAAAGAATCTGCTTTTGAGTCGACTCTTAAATGGAAGAGGGAATCACTGTGGCTTCGTCTCGAGTGATGGGAACGCCGAGCTATGTGGATCTCGTTTTGAGGCGCCTCAAAGCTATGTGGATCTCACTTACATCAAGACATCCAAGTCAACCACTGCCACAGACGTCTACAGGTGATGAAAGAATCTGCTTTTGAGTCGACCACCGCCACAGGTGATGACTTTTGTGGCCCATGGGTGATAGACCTTTGAGTCAACTCAAAAGGCGTGCAAGGCAACCACGTCCGCGCACGCCTCTGAATGCCAGACTGCCCGTTCTGTCTATGCTTGGCTTGCGTTAAAACATATGTCTACATGTGATGGAACTGCTTGCTGACTATGGCCTCAACAAGCTGGAGGGCTTTTGAGTCGACTCAAAAGCATTCAAATGGATTTCTACATGTGATAGAACTGTTTGGTTTTGATGCGCCTAAAAAATCGACTCAAAAGCGTTGAAAAATATGTCTAAATGTGATGGAACTGTTTGCTGACAATGGCCTCAACAAGCTGGAGGGTAGGTAATGATGAGGTGAGGAACCTCAGAGCAAAGCTCATTGGACAATGAGACAATACCTTCATAGTTTCATTGTCCAATGTGACAATACCTTCATAGTTTCATTGTCCAATGAGACAATACCTTCATAGTTTCATTGTCCAATGAGACAATACCTTCATAGTTTCATTGTCCAATGAGACAATACCTTCATAGTTTCATTGTCCAATGAGACAATACCTTCATAGTTTCATTGCTGCCCGTCACTGTCTCCCCGCTTGTGCAGCTTTGGTGTGCTGATGCCGGTGGTTCTCTTTGGCTGCAATCCGGTATTTGAATTTCTCACTCACCGGGGCGATACCTTCACAGTCTCGTAGCTGTCAATGTCTCTCTGGATTGATTGAATCGGCCGCTGTCCCTCCCCCTGCGCAGCTTTGGAGTGCTGATGCTGGTGGTGCTCTCTGGACGCAATCCGGATTTCGAGCTCGGCAAGGAGAGATGCCACATCTTATCATGGGTATGTACACTATAAAATCGAAGAATTGGGTACATACACTATAAAGTCGATTGGGATGAGAGCACTTTTCTAGGCACCTAAAGAAGTGAATGGGTGAACCTCCATTGATTTGATAAGAACAAGAACGTCCTGTGAGTCGACCAAGTGTCCTCGCATCTCGACAAGTCATGAGGCGATTTTCACAGGTGTCATCACACAAGTTGCTGCCACGTATTGACACAATGGCACCTATTTGGTGTTCAAGTGTCCTCGCATCTCGACAAGTCATGAGGCGATTTTCGAGGCGCCCTTTCTCGCCCCTAATATCCCTCACTCCTGCCCTCTCCGATCCCAAACTCAGGTGACTTTTGAGTCGACTCAAAAGTCACCTCGAGGCGCTCTTTCTCGCCCCTAATATCCCTCACTCCTGCCCTCACTGATTCCAAACTCCCTCACGTAGGCAGAAGGCTGCCTCGCCTCTGGCACCATAATCGCCTCGAAATACTCCCGTGGGACGTAATAATGTTTTGAGATGTCTCACAACACGATCATTATCACCCCAAACCCCCTCCCCCGCACAGGCGGTAAGCTGCCTCGCCTCCGGCAAAACAATCTCACTCAAAGACCCCCGCATGGATGCCCCTCTGGATGCTGTTCAGCGCTGGGCTGAACTGGCAGTCAGGTGCACCGTGCAGTGCTCTGCGAGCCGCCCAAGCATGGAAGATGTTGCAAGCGAGCTGATGAGCCTGAGGGTTGATGTGGTGGGAAAGGAGGAGCTGGTTGCCGCAGTGAGGGTGGATGAAGAGGTGCTGGAGATGAGGTGTGTGAGTGAAACGGAGACTGATTTGGACACTGAGCTGCTTTCGCTGGCCAGCTTTCTGAATGAAGATCTCACTGATGCTGCTACTACCCCGAGCACCACAGCAGCGTAGGCTCTGTGGCATGGGGTTGGAAGCGTAGTCGCAGACTGGAGCTGCTTTCCCTTGATAGTTGTTTGAATGGGGACTGTGTTCGAGTCGACTCAACAGAAGGTGGATGCGGAGCAGGGCTTCAGATTGGATTTTGAGGGGCTGTTGGCTCAGGGTGCCCCCAGAAGGAGCCCCCGTTTTTCAGGGTCCGGTTTTGGAAGTTGCAATTTTTTTCAGGGTAAAAATTTTCAAAGGCTGAAAAATCAGGACTCAAAATTTTCAGAGCTGAGATGATGGGTTGAACCTTGACGATTTTTTTAGGGTGGGTAGGATTTTAACCTAGCACATTATGTTAGACATGGCATGTTTTGTCATACAAAAAAAAAAAAACCTGACTCATCAGGTACATTTTTTAGGTTTATGATCCTTAGATCAGATCGGACTTCATTGCGTACAAACAAATTCTCACACTACTAGCGTGATTTTAGCCAAGGACCAGTCACGCCCCTCACACCTGCTCCAACTCGCGTCAGACTGCCTGCGTGATTTTGGTGAAGGACCAATCACGTCCCTCACATCTGCTCCAACGCGCGTTACCTGCGTAGTTTTGCCTAAGTTCCAGTCACGCCCCTCACACCTGCTCCAGCTCGTGTCAAACTGCCTGCGTGATTTTGGCGAAGGACCAATCACGCCCCTCACATGTGCTCTAGCTTGCGTCACCTGCGTCATTTTGGCTTAGGACAAGACACGCCCGTCATTTTGGCTTAGGACAAGACACGCCCCTCACAGCTGCTCCAGCTCGCCTCGACCAGTCAGATAGAATTCTGTTTCAGGCTGGAAATCCGTTAAGGCTGATAATTCAGGGTGACCAAAACAAGAACATACAATATTTCAGGCCTGCTCAAATGACAACCCCTAAAATTCAGGCCTAGGAAAAATCAAAAGCTGAAAAAACAGGACGACCCTAAAAAAACACCCTGATATACAGCATTTCAGGGCATTTTGTCCTGACTACTGAAGCCCTGATGCGGAGATGCTGGAGATGCGGTGTGTGAGTGGAACGGAGACCTATTTGGACTCCGAGCTGCTTTCGGTGGATAGCTTTCTGAATGACGACGTCACTGATTCTGCCACCTCGAGCACTGATACATCATACACTTCATTCAACTGGTAGCATGGCATGGAGTTGGGACTTGTAAGCCCGATCACAGATTGGTAGGCTTTCAATTCAACTGGCGCCTGAGCTGGCATTGTGCACCAGCTTGGGTAGGGGCTTTTCTAAGAGTAGTTTTAGGGCGAACTCATATGAAATACAGGTAACATCGGCATCATAATAGGCTTGGCTGATGCTGATGCAACTTCCAACGCATGTTTTTTTGCTTCCTGCGGATCAGCAAAACAATTTTTGTTCGCACGAAGGAAACTGTTGTCGCTGATTTCACATTGTCTTGCATGTGGCAACCATACAACACGCGCGAGTGTTTTTTGCGGGCATAATTAGGTCGTACTGGGCAATAGAAACCCGGCGCGCGAACGTTTCGCTCGCTGATGTCAACAAATATACTTGTATAGATTAGCTGGGTTATATTTGTTTGTGGCGTAGTTGGATCAGTTCTCAGAGCTTGGTCCCGCGCACTCCTAACGCTTCCGCCCTAGCACACCATAGCCTAGCGCGCCACGTCCCTAGCTGCGCGCCTCGTCGCTTGTCCCCTCCCCACCCTCTCCTACCCATCGCATAGCTCACGCCAGCTGCCGCCGGCCCACGCCTGCCGGCGCCTTCGTTCGTAGCCACCCCCACCCCTTTCCCCCGCTAGTTCGTCGCTCGCTTGCCCCTCCCTCCCGTCGCCCGCTCGTACTTGTCGACGGCCAGCGCTAGCCCGCGCCAGCTCGCCTGCTCGCCAGCTCGCCCGCGCTCGCTAGCAACAGTGCCAGAGCTGACCAGCGTCGTTTCGCCAGCGCCAGCCACCTCGCTAGTGCCAGCTCCACCCCGCTCGCCAGCGCCAGCTAGCTTGCCAGAGTCAGCTGACAGTTTGCCGTTAGTGCCAGCTCGTCAGTGCCAGCTCGCCAGCACCGGCTCGCCTGTGCCTACTAGCCTGTGCCAGCCAGAGCAGGCCACCAACCCGCTCGCCAGCACCTAGCCACCGGCCTCTAGTGCCCAACGCCCGCCGCCTCCGCTGACCGCCAGCTGCCACTGTCAGCAGCGCCAGCAGCACTTACCGCCAGCCGTCAGCGCCAGCACTAGCAGCCAGCTGCCATCACCAGCGCCAGCCGCCAGCGTCAGCTAGCAGCCGCCAGCAGCCGCCAGCCAGCTCACCGCTGGCCTGCCAGAAAGCAGTAGCCAATAGCCGCCAGCCAGCTCACCGCTGGCTTGCCGCACCCACCACTGCTGCTGCCGCCACACCTGTTGCTGCCGCCACACCTGTTGCTGTCGCCGCTGCCACTGCAGCCGCCACTCCCGCTACCGCTACCGACGCTTAGGTCACTCTGCATTCCCGCGTCTTAGGCACATGTCCCAGCACGGTCTATTCTCTGGTCTCACCGCGTCGCTCCCCGCGCTGCCTGCGTCAGTAGCGTCACTGTGCACCTCTTGCGTTGAAGGCCGGCAGCACGCTGCCCCTCACTCCTTCGCGTTTTCTCCTACCACAGCGCCGCTACAGACACTGCACATGGACGTCTGGGGCCCTGCCCCGGTCCATGGTCTTAGTCAGGAGCGCTACCTCCTCGTCGTCGTTGACAACTTCTCGCGTTTCACCACGGTGTTTCCGTTGTAACGGAAGGCCGACGTGCCTACCGTTCTCCTCCCGTGACTGCTTGCTGTTTGCGTCTAGCACCGCCTGGCCGTAGTTCGCTTACACTCTGACCGTGGTGGCGAGTTTGCCTCTGGCACTCTAGAAAAAATCTCTCGTGCAGAGGGCATCCGCCAAACACACAGCCAGACTCCATACAACAAAATGGGGTCGCTGAGCGACGCATCGGCCTAGTCATGGAGGTAGCTCGCATCTCCATGGTCCACGCCCTTGCACTCCATACTTTGTGGCTGTTCGCAGTGCGCTACGCTACTCACCAGCTTAACTTGTGGCCGCACTCCCAGCGGCTACAGGTTTTGCCAACCCTTCTCTGGACCGGGCCTCCTCGTGACGCGTCTGCAAATCACGTCTTTGGCAGCCTTGCTCACATCCACGACACTCGCATGGACAAGCTCTCAGCCCGCACCCTTCCTTGTGTCTTCCTGGGAATTCCGCTTGATGTCCTTGACTGGCTGTTCTATCACTCGTCACACCACCGCTTCTACCACTCTCGTAACGTCACCTTCGACGAGACGCTCCCCTACTATCGGTGCTTCCTGCACCGCAACGCTCCTATGCCTCCTCCTCCAATCTTCCTCGTCCCTGCCCCGCCTGCCGCACCACTCCCACCCGGCTTGGCCGAGTCTGGTGTCTCCAACGCCACTCAGCTCCCTTTGGTTGGGCCCGTGGGGGAGTCTGCTGACTCTGGGGGCCCAGCTGGAGGGGGCGCGCCTGCTGTCCCTGTGGCGCCTTCCCCAGCCTTGGTACCCCAGGCACCTCAGCCGCCTCCCCCCTTGCCCCCGCAGCAGCAGAAGCAGGAGGGAGCAGTGGGCTCTGGGGGTGCTGGTTCTGGGGGTGCTGGTTCTGGGGGTGCGAGTATTGGAGGTGTTGGTGTTGGTGTTCGGGGTGCTGGTTCTGGGGGTGCGAGTTCTTGGGGTGCTGACTCTGGGGGTGCTGGTTCTGTGGGTGGTGCGTCCAGGGGTGTCAGTCTTGGGGGTACTGTTTTGGGGAGTCCCAGTGGTAGCCAAGGTTCAGCTGGAGGTCCTGGTGAGGACAAGGCACCGCAACAAGAGTAGCCGCAGCTGCAGCAGCAGCACCAGTCGCAATCTGCCTTGCATCTACTTGGTCTTGCTCCCGGTTCCCTGACCGACCACCTCTACCTCCTCCGGTGCGTGCCCCTGTTTACGGCCCGCTGTTCCCACCCCCAGAGTCCTCTCCGACTCGTTTTCCCCCGTGCTCTCCTCCATCTCCTGACTTGTCCCCCTTCCCCGCTTGTCCCCAGTCCCCAGTTCTTCCCCACTGGGCCCGTCGTCCCTCTGTTGCTCATCCTGTCTCTCCCCGTCCTAGTGTCCACCCGATGGTCCTTCAATCTCGTGCACCTCCAGTCCCCGTGCTTCCATTACCTCCTCCGTCGTCGCTCCCGCAGTCCTCTGCTCCTCTCTCTGACTCTGCTCGCACTTTTCGTCCAACCCTCTCGCGTTTGCTTGCGTCGCTTGTCACTGAGCCTACTGCTCCTCCTAAGACTGTCTATGCGCTTGTCGCTGCTGTTGCTAACTTTGTTGCTAGCCACCACCTTAACTACAGTGCCGCTCCGGTCTCTGGTACTGCCTGTTCTCCGTCCGTCAGGGGTGCACGTGCCCTTGGCAGTGGCGAGCTGGTCTGCCTTGCTTCCGCTGTACCCCATCTCTGCTCCATGCTTGTATCCCCAGAGGGCGACCGAGACGCCCTCGGCATCCCTATTCTGCGCTCTTACGCTGAGGCGGTGTCGGGGCCCTGGGCAAACCAATGGATACAGGCCATGGAGGTTGAGATGGCATCCCATAGATCCACATGCACTTACGTCAACACAGTTCCCCTGCCTGGGGCGAACGTAGTCAATGACATATGGGTCTACAGGGTGAAGCGCGCAACTGGAGAGCCGCCGAAGTTCAAGGCGCGTTATGTGGCTAGAGACTTCAGTCAGCGAGAGGGTGTGGACTTCTTCAAGACCTTCTCCCCTACCCCGAAGATGACTACTCTTTGGGTGGTCCTCCACCTAGCCGTGCAGCGTGACTATGAGCTTTACTCACTCGACTTCTCCATATCGTTCTTGCAGGGTAGTCTGCACGAGGAGATATACCTCCGGTGCCCTCTAGGCTTCTCTGGGTCCTTCCCTCCTGGAACCCAGTGGAGCCTGCCTAGCCCTGTCTACGACCTTCATCAGGCACCGAGTAAGTGGCACGACACGCTTCGCACCACACTTGCAGAGCTGCAGTTCTTTCGGTCCTTTGCTGACCCCTCTCTCTTTGTTCGTACGGGTCAAACCCTGTTCTATATCCTAGTGTACGTAGACGATCTTATTTTTGCTACTCATGACAGAGACGCACTGGCCTCAGTGAAGGCCGAGTTACTTAGAAGGCACAGTTGTACAGACTGAAGCGCTATCTGGGCTTGGAGATCTCTTGTGACCGTGCTGCTCACACGATCACACTCTTCCATTCCCATATGGTGCAGCAGATCTTTCGGATTTCAGACTCCAGTTCTCTTCAGCACAGCCCACCCATCTGCCTATGGATCACAAGCTCTCTGCTCCTGTTCCGGCTGAGCCGGTCAAGGCGAGTGGTCCATACGCAGA